TAAACTTAACATAAAAAATAATACTTATTTTTTAATAGATGTAACCCTATGCGTTAAAGCTAATATCTTTAGCTGCATGTGCCCAGTGATGGATTAAAATGGTATACATGTAATGATAAGAGCGAGTCACTTATCACAACCACAAATGTATTTATATCCCATTCATTGGAAGCCTGTCCATGAACAGCTAATGAAATATAGCATAACTAATAACAAGCACACTACAATACCAGTAGCCAATATGCAACATAGTACACCAGACTAACAAACCATAGAGATGAGCCAAATGCACCATCTATACAGCATACACCACATCCAGCATACAAGCCTGGACGCCTTTATTGTACCAAAATATAGTCTATTTTCCGTTCTTATTTCAATTTATTTATAGTATCCTTTGAAATAACAGAGAGGAGCACATGCCAATTTCATGCTGTAGCATCAATGGTCTGGCTACCACCATTCTTTAAAAAATTTTCAAGATATTCCTTCCTGCAATAAAAATCACATTTTTAAGGATTAAGCCTTCTGAAGGATTTCTACTGGAACCTGTAGATGAAGTGTAGATTTTATCACAGAATAAAGTATAATCATACCTTGCAGGAAGATCATCATGAGGACGGTTGAAAGGAGTCCAAATTGGGTCACCAACAAAAAGCCTCATTGCCTGCATTAGTGATAAATATTCTAAAATTAACAATTAACACATGGATAATTGTAGCAGTAACTCATCCATATCAAACAATGAACAAGAACTCCACAAACAATGGTTTACTACCACATTCTGTATCTGACATAAACTGTCTCAATGCTAGACTTAATGGCACTTAGGCTCTGCTTGATGCAATTAAGAGGTAAAGACTTTCTAATAATGAGTTTCTAAAGAAGAGATTTGTGAAAAAGAAACCAGTGTTTGCTTGCCATTTTTACCATCTATATTTTGCCCAAAGTATTCGAAGTATGTTTTTGGGATTGGTTTCAAACAACATTTATCGCAACAAGTGGCATTTAATATCCATAGGCTATGATTTATTCTAAGAAAAAACAATTGAAAGAGAATCCCTGTGCTTAACATTAATAAACTGAAAAGAAATAATTTGAAAAAATAAAATAAACATAAAACAATATGTAAAAGCAGTGAGATGCTTTGAACAAAAGCAGTTTGAACCAATCAAATGCAAATTAGGACTCTGGCTTTCATCAACTAAGGTTCCTTTTTCTTGGTCAAAATTGTACACTACCCTACAGCATTAAGAGGTGTTAAAGAACACCTCAGATAATGCCACGTTGAGCCAAATGGAATCTAATCAATAAACGCATCAATTTTTAGGAACAAATTAGAGAAACTCAAGTAAAATGCCACCCTAGAAGTATAATGCCATCCACCTTAGCATCATCAGATTGCAAAAGATATTACAAACAGGCTGGTAATATGAGTGGTTGTGAGGTTGGAGTGGTTTTCATGTTGGTGGAAGAAGCTGTTATCTTCTAGAAATGCACTTAATTAAGCACATTATAAAGAAATTGAAATTCTAGGAGAATAAGCTACGGAAAGGTGGGTTGACTTCTTTACCTTGATGTAGTTGTCAGTATCAAGAGTAAAGCGATGATAAATTCCTGCAGGTAAAACAATCATTCCACCTTTCTTCACCCACACACGAATCCATTGATCATTGTGATCCCTAACATCAAAATAACCTACCATAAAGTGAAAGTTAGAAGGCTTGGAATAAGAACAGTACGAACTGAGCACCAGAAAACGAAAACCAATCAAAATTCCTACCACTTCCAGCCACACAGTATCGAATCTCTTCATCGGTATGAAGATGTTCTTTGAAGAAATTCTTTATCTTCTCTTCATAATTCGGCAGCTTCTCTGGACATACCTCACAGAAGTCCTGAAAAAAATTAACTAATCAAATTAAACTCCAAAACATAATTAAGAGGCATGGTGACAACAATCCACAGTTAAAACCCATATTCCTCATAGTGGGAAATAATAATAAATATTAGCAAAGTCTGAAAATGATTGATTGTTTTACTAAAATGTAAGGCAGTTGGAACAATAAAAATTGAAAAATGAAAAATATTCAAGAATTAACATTCATTGTTCATGAACAATGACATTAAAATACTCCA